TGCAGTGCAGCTCCCTCCTCCAGGTGGTGAGAGTGGTGGTGCTCCGGACATTTTCATTAGTTCTGAAAGATAGTTTTGCAGAGTACATGAATCTGGGTCAGAAGTTGTTTTCTTTTGGGACTTGAAACACTTTACTCCAAACTCTTCTTGATTTCATGGTGATTTGTGTTGACAAGTCTGCAATGATTCCGATTTACTTTCCTGTATAGATGAACTGTTTATTTTCTCTAGCAGTTTTAAATATTCTTTTCTTGTGCTGACTTTTCAGAATCTTGATTATTATATGTCTGGGTATATATTTACTTTGTTATGGTTAGTTGGAGTGTTGTGTGCCTTGCTTATCTGTGTGCCAGATTCTTTGGCAGTGTTTGAGAAGTTTTCTGCTATTACTTCTCTAAATTTCATTTTTTATTTTTTTTATTTCATTTGTGTTGTTGTCTGCTTCTTCACTGATATGTATCACTCTTAGATTATTTTTCTTTATGTCATCTTGTAGTCATTGCATCATTATATCCTGGTTCCTTGTTATTTTTAAGAGATCTTTCCTTTCATGATTGCTAGCTGCAATTCTGTCTTCAAAGTCTGAAAATCAATTTTCAGTGTCTTTCAAGCAGTTTTACTAGTTTTGATTGAAATTTTTTTTTATTTTCCTGGCTATCTCTTTGAATCTGTTTCATGTGTTGTAATTCCTTTATTTATTGTTCATTCAAAGATTCCATCATTCTTCTGTGCTCCTGTTTTCTTATGTATGTATTCTTTAGATGTGCTGAGCAATTCTTCCATTATGTTTTTCATTTCTTCTTTATCTGAAACACTATTTCTGATTTTATTGCTTTTATAGTCTTATGAAATTATTTCTTTATTTCATTTGCTATCCTCTCAGAGATTTCAGGTATGCAACTTCCATTTTCATTCATGACTATATCTTCAAGAATAATTTTGTGTGGGTTGGAGGTCTGAGATTGCTTTTGTTCCTTAATGCAGACATTCTCCTGGGTTCCTCCCAACAAGCTGGTTTTGGGATCCCAGGCACTTCCCATATTGGCTGTCCGTCCAATGTAGGGGCATGGAACAGCCACTAGGGTCTTCCTGAACACAGATTTGCAAGGAGTAACAGGGCAAAGGGCAACCTACTCAGATTCATGCAACTACATTTGGTCTCCCCTTGTGGCCAGGGATATGTGGTGATAGTGCTGCTTTTTTTGGCCATTTGTCTATGCCAGTACTCCATGATGGTGGTAAGCACACAGGGATGTGTTTGTCTGTCTCCCAGTGGATGATAGCTGCCTGAGGAAAGCAAAGGTGTCAAATGTTGGTTTTCATGTGCACCAGGTTTACCTGGCTGCATGTCCGTGCTTCCACTGGCTGCTTGAAGGAAGCAAGCCTTCTGATGGTGGTGGCTGGAAGCAGAATTGAATCTCTCTGCATCTCTCTACTCATGGTGGCTGCCCACGGGAACAAAACTTTTGATAATGACAGCTAGCAGGTGGTGACAGATCTAGCTATGTATCTCTGGCCATGCTGGCTAGTCATACTTCTGATTGCAGTGGCTTAAACATAGGTACATCTTTTTAAAAAACCTTACTTAGTTCTTTTTTTTCCCTTTTAACAGCACTTAATGAATCTCTATCTGTAAGACAGCATATCAAAAATGTGTTTCAAGCAATTATAAAGTTTGAGACCAGTCAGAAACTAATAGCAATTTTATGTAAAGTTTTAGGGTTCATTTTAATCATCATAAGTTACATTGGTTGCATACTTTTCATTGATAAAATAAAAAATTTGAATGATTTAAATACGATTGAGAGGCTTTCTCTGTATTTTTTGCTAAGATTGAAATGTAAAGGTTTGGTTTTTACATCTGGACAAACTTTTAAGTAATTTTTAACATTTTTGTTGTGGCCTTGATGGTCCACTGATCTTGTCACATTGCTCCAGCCAGGGTCATCCTCCAACCCCTGGTGCTGTGAGCACATGCTCCCTATCCCAGTATTTGCCTCAAATTCTGATTGTGATGTTTCATTTATTTTCTTAAAAGCCAGTTTAAGCATGATAGTTTTCCCTTATTTGTGGGAATCTTCTGTTTTTATGACTTACAGATATGCATTATTATGCCAGTACTTTCATCCCCTGACCCTGCCACTGTCACCAGTTAAGGATGTAAGACTTCTGGCCTTGCACACTTTCAAGTACATGTGCAGATGCCAGGGTGCCTAGTGTGGACAGAGGCACATTTACACAAAGCCCTGTGAGTAGGACAATATGGTGTTCAGGACAGTAGAGACAGGCAGGCCTAAGGTTGACACCTGCCTGGCATTGAATGGGGGTTTCTATAACCCCTCATCCACCTGTTAAGTATACTGCCTGCTGAAGAGGGTTCCTCCTTCCCCCAGCCAGGCTTTAGGCTCTGTGGTTTGCAGAAATCTATGGTTCTTGCCATTAGCCACTGGCCAGCACTCACCAACCCAGTTCTTTGTTCAAGGTACTATAAAAGTGGTGGTAGAAACAGAACTCTGAGGTTTCTCTCCATTTTCACATCTTTGGCTTGTGGTGGCCCTTTCAAGAACCTCTGGGCATGTAGATAGATTTTTCATAGTGCTTTTTCTGGCAATCCTTTTGGATTTAATTGGGCCTTCCCCAAAATGTCTAGTGTTGTTGCACCTGCCTTATATGTAAAGACTGTTCCTTGGGGAGCCATCTCTTCCCACAGAGGCACTGCTCTCAGAGTGGAAGCCTCTGTTTAGAGCACTTTTGTTTACTGTGTACCTGCAGCAGAAGGTGTTGGCTGCAAACACCTCTATACTGGATTTAAAATTGATTGAACTGAGTTTCAAGTTGAACAGATCTTAAGGGACATTGTTTCTCCAATGCATGTGTACATTTATGATTTTTAAAATTTGTGTAGGCAAATGAGCCCCTGAGTGTTATAACCTACTTTCCTCCTATAATCCCAGTTAAGAAACTATGTGAGCCAGTAGTTACCTTACTCCACTTTTTGAGCTTCTCCATGCTTTTCAAGCAGGGTTCCATTTTTGTCTCTTATCTACAGTGGCATCTAGTATGGGTGACCTTCTTAGAACAGGTTCTGCACCAGTTACTGGGACTTTGATCTAGAATGACAAATCTCCTCAAGGGTATGATGAAGCAACTAGAACAGAGACAAGATATTTATTTCCGTTACAAGAAAACCTGCAATAGTCAAAGTTCAGTAAAGGACAAAGTCAAAGAGGTGCAGTGTCTCTGGTACTTCTTAGATGCACAGCTGAGTTGGGGAGAGGTTCTGGTTGTTTGCAAGAAGGGATGCCAGTGAACCATAGATGTGTTTGAGGTTTCAGGAGGAGGAACAATACATTTTTTTTTTGGGAAAACTACACAGAAACAGATCATGATAAACAGTAACCTGATGACCTGTTAACTGGACCACTGAGCTAGAAGAAATTTAGATAAGTAAAAGTCCTTAGATACCCTATTATTTTGCTTTAGGATGCCAAGAGCACACAGTTTATTTGCTGGCTTCCACCCTGGCCTTAGTTCTGGGGATAAATTTCATCTAACACTAGCCCATTGTCTTGCCAAAAGTCACATAGCACTAAGACTCTCAGTTTAACTTACTTTTGTGTTGACTTTGATTATTTTAAAGTAATTTTTGCAGCAGAAGGAGAATCTTTGTCCAACTGACTGGAGTAGCCTCATTTGAAAAAGTGTATCTTTATTTCTGGGAGATCAAGTAGGCACCTCAGATTTAGCTGGTGTTATAAAATTTTAGCCTAGCTTACCCATTTTGGTCAAATGTGATATAGGAGTTCCTTTCCAATCAACATCCTCTAATAATTTTTTGAACATAGGAAGAGAGATGAAATCTTGATGCTTGAGAGATTTTTGTGATACAAAACACAGGGAAATCAACACCCTGGTGCAACTTGTGCAGCTTCACAAACACAGCCAACTGACATGGCTCCCCATTTCTTTTGTCCCTGGAGATTCAACAGGACAATGCTGCTTTACTAGTTGATGAATGCTACTTTAGTAGTTGATGCATGATTATGTTATGAGTTAAATCAATGGACCTGTTGCTTGTTCTCTCCTGCCCAGAGAAATCCACAAGGCTGAGAGAAAGAAATATAGAAAAAGAAGAAAATCAAAAAGGTGCAAGAATAATGGAAAATAGAGAGGATATAGGGCAGAAAGGAGGAGGAGGGAGGGAGAGACAGTTAAATCTTTAAGTGGGGAGAGGGGATTTGCATAATTTAGGATGACTAAGAGATATATTTAGAGTGGGTAATTGGAGACATTTCCTATTATGTAATAAGAACATACAGTCTGCTTTAATTGTATGAATTGCCAGAGTGAAACATAAAGCTACATATGATTGCAATAGTCAGCACTCATGTATTCAGGTGTATTCTAGAACCATAAAGGACACTGACATTGCAGTTGATAGCTAGAAGCATGTCTGCTTCCAATGTAATTCCCAACTTAGTTGCTGAAAGATGCTACCTCTGCACCCCTCACCCCTGTTCAGGGTGCTTTCAAGGGCTGTGCTAGTTCTAAGGCTTCTTGAACAGGCCATAGAGCTGAGAACATACACCAAAATTCACAGGGGTGTCCCTCAGGGGGAAAATTTCAGGCTATGCTGTTCCTCGGGAAGCCTGCATGATTCAGTACAAAGTGAGAGATCTTAATTAGTGTACATGAAGACCTCATCTGACAAGTTTCCTCATCCATGCCACTGGGATAGGAGTCCTGCCTCCCAGCCATCTACTGAGGCTGAAATGTGATAATGTAAGTCATCTAATATGTGTCTGGAACCTAGCAGCTCAGCAGGATTCTCAGATGCTCTTCTGGCCCTGCCACCACTCTTCCCACAATAGTTCCATGCAGCTTTCTGCAAAGCATATGGCCATAATTGGAAAGGGAAGAGAAAGGTACAAAATGTGTATTAACAAAAAGCATACAGATACCAGATTAGGCAAAGTTTTATTTCATTTTTCATTGTGCCTTGTTAAGCAGTGTAAGGTTTTCAAAGGAAAAAAACACTATGTCTATCAAGGGGAAATAAGACCAATAGGCATCTTGTATGCTTATGGAGACAATAAGTTGCCATTGTGTTACAGTGAGACTTTAGGATCTGTGCTTGTGCCTTTGACAAGTTATGGAGGAAGCCAGATTGAAGAAGAACATAGAAGCAACACGTGTCACAAGAACCACATCCTTATGATGGTCACATCACTGAGTCTTTGTCTGCAAAGTCCCCTTGTGCTGCTGCACTAGTGAACCAACCCACTCCCCTGTTTTCCGCTTGGCTTCCTCCCAGCTGAAGAGTGGCTCATACCCTAGGTGGCGTTGAGCTTTCTTATAGGAGACTGTGAACACACTATTTGACAGGGTCAGTAAGTGGCGGGTGAAGGGCGGTTGAAAATTATAAATTGGTCTCAACAGAAAGCTCACCATTTCCAGCAGGAAAGCAAGCCAGTACATTAGAGACAAAGGGATGCTTGGGCCAGAATCAAGGCAGAGGCCCCATTCTTTGCTCAGATTGTAATTGAGGTTATCATAACTTTGGTGAGGTGTGTCATCTGAGACATAATAGAACTGTCCTTGGATGTATGGGGCCTTATTAATGTCCCTGAGGCCTCTGGAGGCCATAATGTGGGCCCAGGCCACATTACCGACATAGACTGGATTGACTGTAGAGAATTTGCCTACACCTTTCAGTATCCCATTGTTTTTGAGCGCCATATCCATCATAAAAAACAAGAATGGGCTTCTTTCTCCATAGATGAATGTGGGCCTCAAGGCACAGGTATACAGCGTGCCACCATTTCTCAGGGGGCAGCCATTAGCTTTCAGCACAGCCTTCTCAGCCAGCCTTTTGCTGCATGGGTATGGAGCAGACCAGGTGCTTTCATGATGGTCATCCTCATGGGCGGCCTGGATGATCTCCTTGTAGGAGTTGGGCCCAGCTACTTCTATTGAGCTTGTGTAGATGAAGATTGACACACTGGCTTGCACACAGGCTTCCAACAGCAGCTGCGTACCTGCAAGTGGGAACACAGGATCAGCATCAATAAATAACCCAGAGGTCTCCCATGGGTCAGAAACATGTTTGTATTCTCAACTTCCCTCTGAAGTGACTTTTGCTCCTCTGTCAAACTACAGTTAGCAAAATATATCAACACAAAGGGGCCAAAATCTGTGTTGTGGAAGTGTTTCAGAAACCTAGTTCAAGACCAAAAGGAAGATGTCTTGCACCCAGGAGCTGGAAGGCAAACTATTTTTTACAGCAGGGGGCTGGTGGTAAGACCATTTTGAAATCACCAGTCCTGAGTGAGCTTTGGGTTTAGCTTATTTGCAAGTAGGATATACGTAAGTTGATAGCAGATTATTATACATTTGACTACAAGAATCAAGTTTTATGATGTGAGGCAGATTTATTCTAGGCAGGTTTATTTAAAAGGAATTATTTTTCTTAAAGCAGGAAAATTCTGAGAGAAGCCACTGAGTGGGAGTATGTTGACTTAACCATGTCCTTGACTTGCTCAGTCTGTCCTAGGTAGAATGTCCTTGAAACATGTTGGAAAAACAGGTTATATTTTTAGCTGGTGAATAACACGTATTGCCACTGGACTTGGACACTGCCATGGACTGGCAGCCTGTGAGAAGCAGCTGGATACAGACAGTCAAGGCTGACTGAATTGATCAGTCTGTGTGACAGGCAGGATGAGCATATCCTGTCTCAATAATAGCTACAGGCTGCTAGTTGTTTCTTAAGTTTCTGTTGTTTTTCTATTACAGTGAGAAATAATTTCCATGCTTTTGTGTTCAGTGCATTTGTATGTGTATGTGTTTTGATTTTTGAAAAGCGCATACATGTGCTACTGTGATGACACCAGTGCAGATATGTGATTACTATATGTCTTGAGATACAGCTCAGTGTTAGACTGTTTCCCTAGTGCGTGTAGCATGCCCTAGGGCTAGGGTTAGCTCTGCAACATATTGTCAAAGAGAAAAGGAATAACCAAAAATTGAAAAAAAAATGAATTACTCTTTGTCACTCATATAATTTCATTATTTAAAGATCATGTAAATTCTATATTTCAAGATTACATGGAAACTGTTTAGAATTCATGTCACATATGCTTGCTGTTTATGAAATTATAAATTGAAATCATCATACATGCATATATTTACATTTTTTAATATTAATAAAAGCTTTTTTAGGAAAACCATCTCATAGTTAGTTGAGTTGAGTGAGATATGAAGACCCACAAGTGATCCTGAATGTGTTCCCCGTGAGGAGCATGCCTGGTTCATGCCATTACACTGTTTACTCAGAATGTGAGCAGTAGTGGTGATAACGATTCCCTTTACTTGTCTTAGGCTACTTTTCTGTTGATTCTGCTGGAAAACAGAGAGCAAGAGTGTATTCTCTCTTCGGAAAATACACAATAGCAGGATACACAACTCAATAGTGAAATCTGGTGGTCTTGGAGGTCATTAAACACTTTTACATGAAGAAGAAAATGGAAATTAGAAAAGATAGGTTTTTCTAATTTCTTTCTTCCTTTCTTCCTTCCTTCCTTCCTTCCTTCCTTCCTTCCTTCCTTCCTTCCTTCCATCCTTCCTTCCTTCCATCCTTCCTTCCTTCCTTCCATCCTTCCTTCCTTGATTCCTTCCTTCCTTCCTTCCTTCCATCCTTCCTTCCTTGATTCCATCCTTCCTTCCTTCCTTCCTTCCTTCCTTCCTTCCTTCCTTCCATCCTTCCTTCCATCCTTCCTTCCATCCTTCCTTCCGTCCTTCCTTCCTTCTTTCCTTCCTTCCTTTCATCCTTCCATCCTTCCTTCCTTCCATCCTTCCTTCTTTCCTTTCTTCCTTCCTTCCTTCCTCCAATCCTTCTATCCTTCCTTGCTTCCATCCTTCCATCCTTCCTTCTTTCCTTCCTTCCTTCTTTCCTTCCTTCCTTCCTTCCTTCCTTCCTTCCTTCTATCCTTCCATCCTTCCATCCTTCCTTCTTTCCTTCCTTTCTTCCTTCTTTCCTTCCTTCCTTCCTTCCTTCCTTCCTTCCGTCCTTCCTTCCATCCTTCTATCCTTCCTTCCTTCCATCCTTCCATCCTTCCTTCTTCCTTCCTTCCTTCCTTCCTTCCTTCCTTCCTTCCTTCCTTCCTTCCATCCTTCTATCCTTCCTTCCTTCCATCCTTCCATCCTTCCTTCTTTCCATCCTTCCTTCCTTCCATCCTTCCTTTTTTCCTTCCTTCCTTCCTTCCTTCCTTCCTTCCTTCCTTCCTTCCCCTGTCCTTCCCCTTCCTCCTCCTTTCTTCCCGTTTTCCTTCTTTCCTATCTTTCTTTCTGCTTCCCTAATTCCTTCCTTCCTTGCTTTCTTGTTTCCTTCCTTTTTCCTCCTTTCATACCTCCCTACATTCTTCCCTGCCTTCCTCCCTTCATTCCTTCCAACACTTCAATTTGAAATAGTTTTATCTTCAAAAAAATGAATCTTTCAGAGTGCAAATATGAGTTTCATATACAAAATAAGGGAACTGACCATCTTTGTAAAGTATTATTAAGTTGTGAAAATGTTTCTATAAATGTATAACAGAAACTTCCCTTTTCTCATGTCCTCTTGTTAGGCATTGCAGAGGGCAAGTCTCACGAGACAGAGACATGGAATGAAAATCGGGTTATCTATAGCAGCCTTTTATAGTGTGGTTACTTGGCAGTTTGCTAGAGTAGAAACTAAAAATATCTTTTAAAGATGGCTTAGAAAAAAAAACACAATTGGTTTAGTAATGGAGACTCTGCACCCCTGAATTTGTATCCAAAGTATTTCTGACAGTTCTGATAGGGAAAGGGAAGGTGGACATGGAAAGACTTGCCCTCTGGGTTCAGAGTGACAGCGGGACATGGCAAGCTTCTTAGTGTTTCAACTTACAGCCAAAAGGAAAGCTGCAACTCAGAAGAAGCTACCAAGCATTTAAAGGTGAGGATCTAAAGAGTGACTTTTATTTTTTGACATCTGACCTGAGCCTACTCTTTGTGTAGACACGATAGTATACTGAAGCAATATAGACAATGAGAAATAATTCTTGCCTAGAAAATGTGGTGGGGAGGCCCATGTTGGACCATTGTGTTGTAACATACTCCTGTGAGCCAGCTGTACTAGTTCTTTGGAGAGGAAGCCTTTTTTGAAGTGGACAGGAGGCTCTGGATGACCTTTGTGCAAGTTCTAAATGTGCAGCTTAAAAGGCGTCAGCAGAGTTTGATTGCACAGAGGAGAGGTGTGGGGTCGAAGGACATCAGGAATGTAGAGTAATAGGATAGTTTAATGTGTAATGGAGTAACTGAAGGATGAATATTTATTGTTTTGGAGTCAAATATGAGTAATTTTGAATGCTCGCCTTCCTCCTGACTAAATGTGTGTCCTTGGCAAACTTTCTTGCTTTTCTTATCCCTGGTTTCCTCATCTAAAACACCAGAAAATATTATCTCTGAGTGCAGTTCGATGAAAGTCATGAGCAAAGGCTTTTGGATCAGAACTCTGCAGGTGTTCCACAGGGGTTCTTCTCTGTCCTTTCTCATCTCCATGCTATTCCCCTTCCCATCAGCTGCATGTTGCTCTACCTTTCAGGTTGACTTCCATGATGATCTGTGCAGGAAGGACACCAGATACATCAATGACAGCAGCGGTATGAATAACAACTGAGATGCCCTGGCAGGCTCTCCTCAGGCTCTGAGTGTCCAGAATGTCTCCTTCTACTATTGTCACCTTTGTCTTCGTGTTCAGCTCTGTAGAAAAACAATGCGGGTCATTATGAAGCTTTCTGGATGGACAGGTAATTTTACTGATAAGTCGAAAGTGTATAAATTTTCAAGAATATTCATAGCAGAGAGATATTCAGAAGTGAGTCCACTCTATGGAGGAAACAAAATAATGAGGGCATAGAAACCACAGTGTGTAGCATTTAATGGCAAGAATAAAACAACTGTTGTGTTTGATTCTGTTGCAGAACATGAATCTGAGCAGTAAGCTCCAAGGAGTGTCATGAACAAAAAGAATTTTTAATGACTTCTGGGAAGATTCGTCATACTCATCAAGGAGAGTGGTGAAGTTGAAGATAGTCGCATAAAGAGGCCAAATTAGCATTTAATTGTGTAGACAATGAGGAATCATTTAGGGATTTGGAACTACAGGAGGAACAGAGCCAGGGCTGTGAAAAGGGTACTCACATTGGTACCACAATGTCCAGTGACCTTTTGTGAGGATACAAAAGAAAACAAGACTGCAGTGCACTAATCAGAATGTCTCTGCCAGAATTCATAAGAGGGCAAACCAGGTCCCAGCAGTAGGAAGAGAAGAAGGGAGAACCACAAGCCATCAGTTTCAGGCTTTCCCATAACAGGTCTGGGTACGTAACTTTGTCTTGGATGTGCAGAAAACTGATTAAGCTCATCCCTAGTGTTTCCTACATGTGTAACTAGGAGGAGGTAAGTGAGCCATGCCAGAGAATTCAGGATTGGCTCTTCTGATGGGCTTTATTGAAAATGTTTTATATATCAAATATTATCAATAGCAGACATCCATGAAGTAAATGAATCATCTACAATTAAATTCCATCCCCTCTATCTAGTCCAGCACAGTTGTTACAACATACAAATCTCCTTATATCCTGTAAGGTCAACATGTGTGACACAATGACACCTCCAGTGATACGGCTATCTCAATTTAGTCCAGAAAATCCATCCTGTGCCACATATAGCCTCCATCAAAGCTCTGCATGTGTTTGTGTTTTAGAGTTTACAGACAAATGTGTAGTCAGCTCACTTCCTTTCCTATAGACCACAGCAGAGAGGAATTCGGAATCCAGTTTCCCCTGTGTAGGTGAGGAAACTGGATCACCAAGTTACAGGGAAGATCTGAGTATGCAGTGCTGTGAGGGTTCATACCACACCTGCTTCCTCAGCTTGCTGTCTTTGTTCTGCACTCCAAGGACAGGAGGAGATGTTAGGAATTAGATTTTCTGAAGCTGGGTCAGGGTAAGTGAACTAAATTGAGTATGGTAATCAGGGCTCAGGATGAGGGAGAGAAACAATCAGAGAAAAAACCACTAGATTGAGATGCCCTTACTGTGTTGGAAGAACCACCCCTAGAATTCTGTTATGTTTGTTTTCATCCCTTGCCCTCGTCAGGTAACCCAAGGAGGCCCTCTAGTGTAGGATGGTGAGGAAGGGCTGATGTAGGGAGATGAGTGTCTGCCTAAGCATGGCATCTTCCCTTGTAATGTCTCTCATCTGTTATTACTATCACTGCTACTTCCCCAGCACAAGAACCAAAATTTAATGCTGTTCGACAAAAGTAATAGGTCACCTATAAAGGAAAGTCCATCAGAATCATATCCAACTTATCTACAGAAACACTCTAGTCAAGAAGTGTTTAGTGGAAAGTATTTCAAATCCTGAAATAAAACAACTTCCAACTCAGTAGGTGTCCTATTAAACTTATTTTTTAAAATTAGTGGAGGAAAATGGACACTTCCACGACAAAGAACAACTAAAAAATTCATGGTGATATAATCAACCATAGAAAGAGTCCTGAAAGATATTCTAGACAGAGATAAAAATGACCACAAACTCAGAAAAAAAAAAAAGCACGAGTAGCTATTCTATTTGCAGACAATGTTAATTTTAAACTAAGAGTAATCAAAAGAGATAAAGACGGTCACTATATACTTTGTTAGGGAAACCCTTCAAGGTGAAGAGATAATAATCATAAATATATATGCAACAACTATGGGAGCATCTAACTATATTAAACTAACATTAATACACATGATAAAGAAAAGAGACAATAAAACGGTTGTAATAGGACCTTAATATCCCATTGTCATAAAAAGATCAATCCACCAAAAAAACTTCAGGAAAGAAATAACAGTATTGAATTGAATAGGTGAGCAAATGGACTTAATAGATATTTACAGAGTACTCTAAAACATATACTAACCCAAGTAACATGTTCAATGCAAGGAGTTGAAATTTTCCCAAGCATATTGTCTGAGCATAGTGCAAAGAATGTGAAAATTAATGGCAAAACAATCATCAAAAATTTCATAAATGCATACAAATGAAATAATGCACTCATGAAAGATCAATTGAGTACAGAAGAAATTAAAGAAAAAAATCAAACAATATCTGCAATTAGTTGACACTGCAAACATTGTACCATGTATTGCACAAACAAAACACTGGAAGCATTCTTGAGACTTAGCTTCCTGCAGGCCCCAGCCTGAACTGTCCCTTCTCCTGAACTGTCACCATGAGACTCTGTTCTTCAAAGCTGAGCATGCGTTTTCTTACCACCAAGAGTTTCATTCCAAATATTGCAGATATAACATGTTTACAAACATTTCTGCTCATATCTTAATATTTGTTTCCTGGAGATACCATCAAAGCAGTTATGTGAAGAGTGCTGATAGTGGAAGAGATGAGAAAAGAGGAGAGAGATGGGTTGGTTAGGATTTTCTGGAAGGGCTTCTGCTTGCATATAGAGTGATCAGTGCAGCCTTATGCCATAAATACTTAGGTCATGGAATAGGGGTAGACAATGGGGTTAAGGGTCAGTGGTAGACAATGGAAAATGCTGAAGTCAAGCTGTCACAAGTGTCTGACCCACGATTCAGTGATGTGGCCTTGGGGATGGAATGTAGATAGATTCCTTAAATCAATCATTTTACCATAACCTGAGTTTAGCTTCCCACTTCTTTTGCAGATGAGTGAGTCCTATTTTCTACTGTCACCACCGTATTGTTTTAAAGATCTAGGGTAAAGCATCTGGGCATATTTGATATTCTTCCAGGAGCTTCATTTGTAGTAAGGGCTACGATTTTGGAAAAGAACAACGGATAAGTCAGGTCATTCTGCTTCACTCTTCTTTTGGGGATGAAGAGAAGTAAGGCATCATAAGAAAAATGTCGGAGGCTCCGAGGTAGGGAACGCTGGTCATGCTGCTTCTCACCTGTGTGTACTACAGTGACTTTGTACAGATACTCATGTATGAATTCTCTCTTTCTCATGTACATACCCAAGAGCAGCTTTACCTATATTTCCTTTATCTTACCTTCAGCTAAAATGCTGACTCTTTGTACCCTTAAAGAAAGCAAACAGTGAGATCCCAGGAAACCAAGGGAACAGAGGACTCATGCCTGAGGCCCCTGGATCAATAGTCCTCATCAGGTATTGGAGAACAGTTGCCTAGTTCAGACACACGAGCAGATTAACAAGCTGTAGGTGAGAGGAGTGATGTGAGATTTCTACATGAAAATCGGAGAGGTCCAGTGGCCCAGTACTGCCTATGGCCATCCAGAGTAATTCTGAGTCAGGCATAGGCAGGAGATACACAATGTGGGAGGCATCCTGGTGTCAGGCCCAGAAACGATAGGATGCCTCTGGTTGTTGGAGATCAAAGAACATGCTGTTCTCACTATCATTTTTGCTTATTATAACGTAAGCCTGAGAAATATGTTCCTCCTCTCAGTATTTTCTTAACATCCTGCTATTAATCTAAAACATATGTGCATGCACTTATACTCTTTTGACCTGGGGCAAAAAAGGAACATGTGCCTTCTTCAGAGGGACCAATTGTAAACCCAAGGTTAGTTTGGTATCATTAGCTTTGTAATTTTGATCACTCACAGGGTTTTGACAGCCTCATTGGTTTTATTCAACTCCAAATAAATTTTAAAAAGTGTTTCAATTAATTATATAGAATTGCACAGAATTTTCTAGTAGATGGAATCACAGGCCATAAAACTTTGAAAGTTTCCTCAAAACCCAAAGCTATGAGGAAATGTGTTCTTGAGTTTTCTCATCATACTCCCACTTTGACAAGCACAGTTTTCTTTAATATATTTCAGTGTTTCTCACTGTGGTTCTGCTCAGTTGTTCATTTGGAATGTAAAAAACCTGCATGTTGACTGAGACTGAGAACAAGTATTCAGTAACAAGTCCAGAAACCAGTCTCTCAACAGCTGTTCAAGGTCTCTTATTCTGTACATCCTCAGTTCTTTCTGATGAGTGTGGACATGGGAGATCCCTCATGGCTCCATAGTTCCTGTATTTGTTTTAAAAAGCACTCCCTCCCACACTTGCTTAGACTGCAGAAAATGAAGCTTCCATTTCACTTACTAGAGAATTCTTCCTTGGTGTCTTGTGTGAAGAATTTGTCCAGGGCTCTGATCTCCTGAAGCCCCTCCTCCTGCACCAACAAGTGGACAATCCGCTGGCCTAGGAAGCCTCCTGCTCCTGTTACCAGGCAGCTCCAGCCTGTCATGGCTGATGTAGATAGCAGAACACAGTGAGCAGCAGGTGTGATGATAGATGACTCTGGAGAGGGTTAAAGAAAAAATCCAGTTATTATAGGACATGGCTGCTTGTAATGTCAGAGAGGGGGAATTTACTGTTTGACCTCTGTACTCTCAGACATTGTTATGATTCCCCATTCCATGCAGTCAAAGATGGGGCTTTTGCAGATGTGGCTTCCTATGTCTGATGCTGGAATCAGTTCAGAGTATACTAAAATTAATGGCACTAGGATAGAGGGTATGTAAGCTGCCCACTCTAACAGCTTATATAATATATAAGACAAGGAACTGGTGTTGTCCTTTGCTTAATCTAGCCTGCCTGTTTGCTGTGGACTATTTCTCCTCTGTGATATCTCTCTGCCATTCCACTTTGCGTTGGTGTCATTCAACTACAAGTAAAATGCTCCAGGAACTGTGAGCTAAATAAATCTTTCCTCATTTACCTTTGTATGTTGGGTATTTGTCTCACCAGTGAGGTAAGTAACGGAGGCACACAGTGGGTTTCATCTTGATTGCAATATGGGCAGTGCCTTTGCCTGACAATCATGTTCCAAGCTTTCAGGGCTTACTACCTGAAACTTCCAGTCACTTTAGATATCCATTAAAACCCCCAAGTTTCTTGAATTGTTCTTCAACTTTAATTTAATTAAATGGAGGTGATCACAGAATGAAGAGAAATATTCACTTACCTAGTATGTTGGTTTATTTTAAAGCAAGTTATAAAGGATACAAGTAGAAAGTTGCCAAATACAGTGGAATTTTCAGGGAGCTTCAGGGCTCTTGCTGTTCACAGGACACATCAGGAATGTCCAGTCTGTGGCCTCTGCAAGCACTGGTCACCAGAGCTCTGTCTGTGGGTTTTATGGAAATCCCAGTATACACGTGATCAAGAGATGAACAAGTCAGCACATGATTGGACTGAGTATGACCAAATGATAACAGACCATTACGTATCCAGTTAGACCTTTAAATTTAGATTTCTCCACATTCCTTCCTTGAGGGTATGGAGCAAAACCACATTGGAATGAAATTTTATGCAATGTAGATCATATCAAAAGCCAAATCCTTATATTCAAGCAAAGATCCTTAACATGCAAGGAACATAAAACTCAAACTCACTTAGCACATTACTCAAATGTCCTTCAATTATTAAAAATATGGCCAGTACAACATATTACATGAAAGTGCTTCTGTAGTGAAAATGTTGTTTTCAAAGTTAAGTTCAAGAACAAGATGGTCAACAGTTTCTCCTGTTCATGCGTATTGAATACTCAGGTTAGGAGAAAATATTGTCTCTTGCTTGAGTCATGCCAGAGCTATAAACATAGTATTAATTATTTTTATTTTAAAAACAAAAAGAATAGAAAAATGCAGAATTTCCCAAAAAGTAGGAAATTGAAAGTAGTTATTATACTACATAAAGTTATCTTCAAAGTAATTGTTACAAGAATTAAGAATCAGATTACAAGAGTTAAGAATGAAAAAATGACCAAATTATCAATCAAAGGACAAACTGTTCTTCTAGGTTAACTTTCAGAGGTTAGTTATATATCTTTTATGTACTCACACACATCCATGTATACCTATATGCATGTAATCTTTTCCCTTGTTTTTTTCCTTTCTCCTACTCCAGAAGTCCTTTCCTTTTGAGTACTTTCTTTTCCTTTCATTTTCATATCTATTATACATTTTAGATTTTATAACTCTTTATTTTTTTTGCAGTAAGGAAACAATGTGATATTTGCACATGTGAGTTTGATTTATTTCACTTATGAATACGGTCTCAAGTTGCATCAATCTAACAAAGTAGGAACAATATCTGTCCAGTGAAAATCACAGTACTCTGAAAATTGAAATTAGATTTCAGAAAATGGAAAGACACTACTTGTTGATGGATAGAAAGAATCAGCATAGTGAAAATGGCCACCTCCCAACATTGTTATACAAATTTAATGCAATTCCAGTTAAAATATCATTAACATACCTCATAAATCTAGAGAAGTCATTGCTAAAATTCATCTGGACCCAGAAGAGACCTGGAATAGCAAAGGCAATACTGAGTAACAAAGGCAAGGCACTATTTATCATTATTCCTGATGAAGTTATACTACAAAGCTACTGTGATAAAATCTGCTTGATGATGGAATAAGAACAGACCTCAAGGTCAGTGAATAGATTCAAAGATACAACCACAACTATAAACACACTCAGCTATCTTATCTTCAACAAAGGTGCAAAACATGTTCACTGGAAGAAAGATAGTCTCTTTAATAAATGGTGTTGAAAAAATTGACTTTCCATATTCCTCAAACTAAAACTATACTCTTCCCTATCATTATATACTAAACTAAAGTCAAAATGGAGGAAAAGATCTAAATATTAAAACAGAAACATTGAATCTGCTGGAAGTTGAAGTAGGTAGAATCCTTGAAGGGGTAGGAGTAGGCAGAGAATTCATGAACAAAAATGAGACTGCATGAAATATACTTCCTAGAATGAATTGGGATCTCATCTTATTAAATAAAAATCCTTTGCATGTCAAAACAAATCTTCTACAGAGTGAAAAGAAAACCCATGAATCGAGAAAAAAAAATCTTAGTCAACTGTCCCTCAAACAAAGGACTTCTAACTAGAGCATATAAAGAATTTTTAAAAATCAGGCCTCCAAAATTCAAAGACTTAATCCAAACATGTGCATCTGAGATGAATAAACCTTTCTCAGTGGAAGAAATACAAATGGCAAACAAATATATGAAAAAATGTTCAACATCATTGGTTATTAGAGGAATGCAAATTAAAATAACACTAAGATTCCATATCACCCCTGAAAGAATGTTCAGGAAAAGGAAAAAAAAACCAGGAACAAATGCTGGAGAAGTTGAGGAAAAAGGAACTCGTCTGCCCTGTTGGTGGGAGTGTAGACTGCTGCAACCACTGTGGAAAACAGTCTGAAGTTTTCTCAAAAAGCTGAGCTTGGAAGTCCTATTTTACACACCTATGCCACTTCTGGGCATGTTCCCAGTAGAACTGAAAACATCACATCACAGTGATGTATGTGCACCCATGTTTATAGCAGCACAATTTGTAATAGCCAGATTTTGGAAACAACCCAAGTGGCCATTAACTGAAGAATGGATAAAATAAAAGTGTTATTTTTCTACAATGGAGGACTACTCAGATATAAAGAATAATTGCATTGAGACTTTTATAAGTAAATGGATGCGACTTGAGACCATACTCATAAGTGAAATAAATCAAACTGACAGGTATAAATACCGTATTCTCTCCCCAGTCTAAGAAACTGAAAGAGTAAATAGATCCAAAATCTTCATTAAACATTGTGAAAGGGTAAAAAGCTGCTTAAAGGGGAAAAGTAACATGGACAGGGAAGAAGATACAAGGAAAGGAAAAGACAAAAGATACAAATTTGTATATATACACTTAAGATAGCTAAGGTGATTGTGTTACTAATTCAGTTGGTTCTTGGAACAAAACAGTTAACACTCATAGGATTAGGTCAATTTTGCATTCCATATCTGATATTCTGAGTACATACTTTGAATTTAACTGTGCAAAATAACAACCTTTGTTAAGTTCCTATCAACTTGTTTTAAAAGTATATACTCATTGTTTTGGATTTTTGTTATTTGCTATTACTATGTTTATTTATCTCTTTTGTTTCTTGTATTTTTTCTTTTTTTTATTTAAGGAGAAAAGAAAAAAAAACAGTGAAAGGGTACAAGTTATACAGATTTACAGAAGAAAAAAATGAACAGTAGGAAATCATTAGTTAATGGATTACATATTGCCATCTTAGAAATAATTGTTCAAGTCACAAAATTAAAGCTTGTAGAGTGGACATTCCAACAATGATACTGCAAACAGTTCTGTTCAATGATCCAATAAAACTCTGTGATATCATTTTCTATCTTATACACTTAAATATACATGCAGTTATATAGTTTAGAGCACTTTCTTTTCCTCTCTTTTGTACAATGACTATTACACATTTTGGGTTTCTTTGCTCCCACGGTTCTTATTGCTTTTTTGGAAGAGAGTAAAACCAAATGAGACATAACAGAACAGAATCGGTCAAGTCAAAAGGGTGGACATAATAGATAATATAAAAACATAATACAAGGTGATCAACAATGGTTACCATAATGCCTCCCGCTATCTCTAATAGAATTGCCTGTATCATTAGTTATAATACAATTGAACAAAACAGTAAAGAACAAAACCGACAAAACCAAAACATTGGAGACATTGTAGGTCTTCAAAAGTAGATAAAAGTCAACAAAAATGGGCGTTATAATGAATCTCATTATCTTCACAGCTGATGCCTAAACTTTCGAACCTGATACTATCCAGCAAAACAGAATAGGGGAACATCAGTCAAAAACAAGATGGTGAGAGTAATAGAGAGGGCTTCAAATCGAGATAATAGAAAGTCAAAGTGGGTTACTATATTATATCCTGCTATTTTTTCCCCTTTAATTAAATGGATAAAAATAAAAAAGTAAATAATGGAGTGGAGATTGAGAAAAAAGAGGGCATAACAGCGAAACAGCGCAGATCAAAACATAACCATTTAAGCAGAATAGTGTTTCACCACCAGATAATTCCGACCCAAAAGTAGTTACCATATTGTCTCTTTCCTTGAAGTCCTTGAGTACAACTTCGTATACTGTAGCATTAAGTATATCAAAACAATGTAAAACCATTCAAGAGAATGACAGCATTACAGAGTATTTAGAATTGACTAACAGAAAATGAACAATGGTTTCTGTATAATCTCCTTGTCTTTAAAAGGTTTTTGCTTATGCTATTGTACATAATAAAATCCAATAAGATACAACCTGTTTAGACCATTGGAGACAGAAGAACAAAAGCTAGATGAGACTTCAAAACAAGATGATACTAAATCAGTATTACCTATTAAGATGCCATTTTCTCCAAAATAGCTGTTCCTATCATCCACTCTTCTCTGTCTCATTTCTGTTGAGCTCTTTTTCTGTCAGTAGCTGTCAGTTTGTCTTCTTCATTTTGTTCTCTGCTCCATTCGTTGTGGCCTCCCCGCCACTATTTCTGGGTTCTTTGTATTTTTCTTTTTTTAGAATATCCTGCAATACTTTCTGTAGGGTTGAATTGGTGGTTGCAAATTCCCCCAGTTCCTCTTTATCCTGGAAGCACCTTGTTTTTCCATCAATTTCCAGGGACAGTTGTGCAGGATATCTCAATCTTGGCTGGAGATTATTATCTTTCAAAGCTTGAATTATTTCCCCCCATGCTCTTCGTGATTTGATGGTTTGTGCAGAGAAATCTGCTGTAATTCTGATGGGTGTTCCCTTGTAAGTGGTCTGTTTCTTTGTTTTGTTTTTATCTTTTTAAAATAAAATTTAAAAAATCTCCAGTGATGTAAACATATTCACACACTTATAT